TAAAATGCATGCTAAACTTTATTCTATCCTAAATAATATGGGCTGTGCTATTCGGTTTCTCTTATAAACTGATTTTCTGTTTCCTTTCAAATGCAAAGTCGCGTTTTTTATCTATGTGTTAATCGACATAGAGACGTTATATTATTGCGTTATTTAGAAGAATATTGAAGAACTAGACTCATTATCACTCGGTGATTTTTGTCATCTTAATTCCCTAACCACAACTCAACGTTTTCCATTTGCTTTGAGCTCTCTTTTGAGTTAAGATCTTAGAATCTTTTATTTTTTTTTCCAAGACGGTCATTGCGCGTAACATTTAAGTGTTCTTTTTGGATAAGTAAATCCGGTTTGAAAATTAGCAATTTTTTGATGCCATCGTTATAAGTAGTACGTTAGTCTAAGTTGGTCGTTTTTGCAGAAATCGAAAAAGTTTTAGTGCTGTCATGGCGTAATCGGTTCCCCTTGCATCGTCGGTCGAGCGCAGTAAGTAGTGTGAGTGGAAGCACTTTTACAAACTGTACTACTTCGGGGTGTTTGTTTTCTTCTATGCGTTTACTACTGGGACCTGGTTTTTTTGGTGTGCGTGTGACACATTCATCGTAGCCGGTCGTCCTCGGCGATGTAAGAACATCCCCAAATTGGGGTCATTGGCATGTCCTTATTTCTATGCTTCATGTGGTTTTCTCAGAGCCTTTATTCGAGAAGACGTTTCTATGAATCTTATCACGTGATACCGGGCAGTGGAAAATTATTAACAAAAGTAAATTTATTCTCCTCAGACTTTTGTACGAATTATTCTTTTTACTGTTTGCGGAAAACATGTAAAGCTGTATCTAACATGTCACCACTATTTTTCAAAGGGCCAAGCAGTGGACCAATATTGAGCATTAACTTTTTTTAATGATCATGTCTTGGTATCCTTAACACATTAATGGATTTTTAATCACGCTTAGATTTGAAGTGTCAATAAGTGTAAGGTTGTTTACCACTATGATAATGCCTTCGAATCTTGAATCATTGTGTTATTGTGGAATTCCAGCATACGTGCAGCATTGTGCATGCTGTCTCTAACTGCCGACTAAATCAAACCTTGTTTTGAATTTTAGAATATGTACTAATTTGTAGTGATTTTTGTCGTTTTAGCTCAAAGTTGTCTCTTTGTTTAGCTCTTATTATGTATTTAGATTGCGTTGGTTTAATTAATCTCATCCCTTTTTAAAGGTCTGGTTATTTAAAATTGATGTTGACTCTTTGTCTTTTCTCTTCTCGGGTTGTGACTGGCTGTTAACTAGAGGATTGTTTGGTGGTGTTAAACTCGGCTACTACATGCTTAAACAGTGTTCTCGATATTGCTTTAACAGTAAATTAACGCCACCGTTCGGTTCTATAATCCACTGGTTGTCACATTCGGTGTACTTCTTATTTACTTTGATGTCTATGTTCTCTAATAGCCATTTCACCTTGCTGCATCTTTGTTCACTTTCGTCCCTGTTGAGCTATATGGCATATGCGTATTTAATCACGCTGCATTCATTTCAACACTTGCAAACTTCATGCCTACTGACTTAGCTTTCTATTTTAGTCACCGACTTAAATCTGGTGCTGTAGCATTGATTTCATGAACACAAACGCTTTTCACTTGGTCCTCTAGTTAGGTTGTGATCCCACCTTTAATTAACGAGCATTTAATCAGGATGTGGCAGTCCTGTTTTTAAGTTTCGATCAAGACACGAATGTTTACGTTTTCCAACAAGGATTTAATTTCTTGAGTTTGTGGTGTTTGAGTTCAGTGAGCGATTTGAGAAGAAAATCGCACTAATGATTCACTGACCGACAGACCCCCAATCAGTTTGTTGGTCGAATACTTTTCGCCAACCCATGTCCTTAATTTCTACATACCGCACGTTTTACCTTACTGGACCTTATCGCTTCAGAAATTGACTCCTAATGTTTGCAACCTTCCGCTAGGCTGTTTTTGCTTAAAAATTTGTATTTTTTGCGCCATTGAGCAACACATTCTGTTAACCCTTCAGGCAGATCAAGGACGCTGCCTTGAGGACCGACTTACTTTATGCTATCTACGACATCTGCATAGGTTTAGGTTAGCGTCATTGACTTCTGGGAAAATAATACCTAAAAAATCTCATGATATGTCGACCATTTTTGCCTGTGATCTTTCTGGTTTTGTTGAGATGATCCCCGCGCCTTTAGTTGAAGCAGTCGGTCAATGTGAGGTTTCCTCAAAAACCCTTCCACCTGTTAATCGTCGCGGCATTCACCTTCCTTGTTTGCTTACTCGTATACATGCACGTTTAGTTAGCAAGCCGGGGTGAAACAAGCCTGGTGGTCGCAACAGCCTTCGTCGTTCATGTTGACTTAGTCGCAGTACCGTTCCTACGACTGCACGTTGAGTGAGCAGATATATTTACAGCAGTGGCTAAATTCACTTGTCATCCAATTAAAAGTGGAGCTTGTCACCATATTTTAATTCCCCGCCTTTACGTCCTTGTCGAATACGTATTCATGGATTGTTGATTTAAGGGAGACGTCTGCTTGATAAGTGGTCCATCAAAAATTTTGAGAAGTTGCCGAATTCACCAAAGAACACAGTTTGAACAGTGAAAAGTGGGACTGCTGACGTCTTTTGGCAAGTGGAGTACTTCCAGGAAGTTTCCATGCTTGCTGCAAAAGTGAATTAATGTTCCTGAACCTTTACTTACGTTAAAGATTGACATATCCTTTCTAATCGTGTTTTATTCAGCGCATCAACGATAACTGGAACAACGGTCGCTTTCGCCTTATCAGAATCCGTTGCCATAGTGACTCGTCTAAGGGTGTTTACTGCCTTCAATACGACTCCGATAAGATTGTCTCTGGGTTGCGGGATGACACTATCAAGGTGTGGCGACGAGTTGGTGCCTCCACTAGTGCCCGCCATGAACCCCTCGGCTCCGGTGACACATCTGGGGGCGCGGACGGCGGTCATATGAGTCCAGAGCTTGTAACGGGCTCCGGCCCTGCAGTCGCTGCTTCATCTCCGGAGGGTGATGCCGCTCAATCGGACTCCGATGGCTATCAGTGCACACAAGTGAGCACAATTAACCCCATCTGTTTATCCCTTCTGTCGAACCGTGATCACTGTAGCATATTTAGCCTTTTAAGGGTGTTCTTATGGACCTTTCTTTTCGTAGTCCTTAGAATTCCACTAAGTGACGCTTGTGAAAAATGTGCTTTTAGGGTAAAGTACGTAATTAGTGCTTTGAACGTTTGTCCATTGCAGGTGCTGCGAGGTCATACCGGCTCCGTTCTCTGCCTGCAATATGAAGGTAATCTCCTGATTAGTGGTTCTAGCGACTCGAAGGTGCGCCTCTGGGACCTTTCGACGGGTGAATGCCTCCACATCCTTGACAAGCATCACGAGGCGGTGCTTCATCTGCGCTTCCGGAATAGTGTGCTCGTTACTTGTTCGAAAGTAAATTATCCTCCCTAGTGCATTCATGTATCTGGTTGTTTTCGCACTTGGTTCATTCGGGGCCAAATCTTTTCCATTAACTAAATCCACAGTCAAGCTGTACAGATCACTTTCATTTACCAGAGTGATAATTGCAATTGTAAACCGACATGGCCCACGCCTTTGTCGAAGTGAGGAGGAATACGGCTCTATTAAAAGTGTTTGCTGGTGTTTTTCAGTCCAAGGTTTCGATGATTATGCTGCAAGTACTTCCACTTAGCAAGAAGGTCGACTCCAGTTTACGCGCCACTCAAGTTGTTTGGTAAAACCTTTGAGTAACAATCACTTCACTTTGTATTACGCTGGTGTTATCATGTCAGTTTTCCACATGGAAAGTCATCTATCGTGTCAGCCACATGGCTGGATATTGAAAAATACTGCTCACCTGCGTATGTCATTATGCGTTACTTGATGTTTGGGTTGTGAAGTATGCATTAGCAATGATGTTAGCTACGACTTTTGACCCATATTGTAAGTAGCCTTAATCAAATTGTCGGCAAGTTTTTCATCGCAGGACTTCAGAGATGCTTTAAAAACTAAACGTTTCCTGTTCACTCAGCCTCTACTGTTACCTTATCCACATCAGCTCAAAATGAAATGTGAACATTCCAGAAATACTATTGCAACGCAGGAAGTTGGGTCAGCTGTGATGCTTTTTAATACCTTGAGTCTGACTGGAATAGTTGCCCTCGTCTGACTTGAATGGCCAAAAACAGGGTAATGTTATTTGCTTGAAGGTCTTACCTATCAGGTGCTTCTGTTCAATTCGTCATGGACGCCATGTGCAAGTAAGTTATATAATATGCGTGAAACCTATTGATTGACCCTATGCGCTCCTCTGCAGCAATATTAGTTTTTATCTTGTTTCTTTTGATAATGTATGTTTGCGCTTCTCCCTGAATTGGTCAGCAAGCCACTTCCGAGGCGTCATTTCTTTTGATACGTTGTGTGACACTGTTTATTTGGTCTCAATTCGATATGACTTGTTAATCTCGTACTTAGCACACTGCAAATTTCGAATTATAAGGAGCGCTAGTGTTTTAATATAATTGTGTGTCATACGATTTTCCGCAGGATCGTAATATTGCCGTGTGGGATATGGGTCCTTACCCCAAAGATATACAGCTTCGAACTCTCCTCACCGGTCACCGAGCGGCCGTTAACGTGGTCGACTTTGACGAACGCTACATCGTGTCTGCCAGTGGTGATCGCACTATCAAGGTGAGTGCAAAATGACCTATTTTCCTCCTGCATCACCAACTCTCAGGGTGCGAGTATTGCCGATATTCGGCTGTTCCTCTAAGTGTTTAGGTAACACACTGTTACGCATGCGATGTGTTGTCTTCCTAACGAGAGCTGATATCGAATAGGTTTGGTTAGTAGTTGGGTGAAGGAGCTGGACATCACTTTATGAAAAATATCAAGTCATTGTTTCTGAATGGACTTCAGGGAAGCTAGTTTTGGATACCGTGATGTCGAACAAAGCACTCGCTGAAGTTTGGAAGATTGAAATTGAGTTCATGTTGCATTTCTCTATCAGGTATGGAAGACAGATACAACAACCGTGACGCCAGTGCGAACCCTTTCCGGCCATCGCAGGGGCATAGCATGCCTTCAGTACCGTGCACCCTATGTCGTATCTGGCTCTTCTGACTTCACCATCCGCATCTGGGACATAGAAACAGGAGTTTGCTCGCGTGTTCTCGAGGGACACGATGAACTCGTCCGATGTATTCGCTTTGACTCAAAACGAATTGTATCTGGGGCCTATGACGGGTAAGGACGCACGTAATGATGAACCTAAACTCATCCAAAGTCAATTATTAATAGGCTGTTATAACAGAGCACCTCTTGGTTTGTTCTTTACTAGCAATTCATGACTTGTAATAATTACCGTTCGAACGATATGATCACGAATCATACTGTGGTGGCTTTGGACCTTCGTCATAAGAAAAGGCCAACTTTTATGTTCATGTGTCGTTGGATTACGGATGAAGACAGCGTCTTTCTAACGACCCTTGTCTAACGGTTTTCTCGAACTTGTACGAACGCCGTTTCTTTTTTTACCTTTTTGTCCTCCCTTTTGATTAAAGCACTGCATCTGAAGGCTCCCGTTTTTAAGTAAGATATTTTGACATTATCAACCTGATATACTAAATGGATTAAAAAAGCTAGCTGGACGTGGCCAGTACTTCATATGCTTTCTCAACAAAACAACCCATTGGTGTAGCATTCCGTGGATTTGAATCAAGCGAAGGCGTTTAACCCCAAACGTAAATCCCCCTTTCTGGAAACTCCTTTTTTTTAGATATAAACCACTTTTAACTTCCCTATATAAACTATGTTTAAAGACACCTATGGAAATCCAATTAGTTACAAAGCCTATTATTCGCACAACCTACCACGCTTTGAAGGAGCCGGTCGTGTGCGGTTAAATGTGGGACGAGTGCACGTACTTGACTTCAGCCGCCTTGAGCTACACACGTGTTCATCAAACAAATAAACATGAAAAGTGTAAAGCACTACAATTTTTTCCCGGTAAGATTAAGATGACTTTTTACTCCCTCCTGACTTGTCTGACAACGATCTTGATATGCATGTCATTCATGCTTCATAAACAAAATACACTTTTTTGGAATAATGATCCACGTAAGTCGTTCAAACCGTAGCATTTCGAATAGAAACCCTTTTCACTAAAATATAGCCATTATCGGAGCCCTCGAACGCAATTCCAAGTCCAACAACCACCCATTTAAACTGGTTTGATGAAGTTCGCTTTAGTCCAGCTCCACCGCTAGTCGGTTCAGATGTGAATGTTTGGTTCGTCTCAATGAAATATCCGTGGTATGTTTAAGGTGCCGAGGTCTTGTGATACTTCATCTTGAATAATGTTTCTTGTTGTTTCTCCATTTTCGGTGTAGTAAAATAAAGGTCTGGGACTTGAAGGCAGCACTTAATCCACGTTGTCGCACAAACCAATTTTGCATCAGAACTCTTCACGAACACACTGGCCGCGTATTCCGCCTTCAGTTCGATGACTTCCAGATCGTTTCCTCTTCCCACGACGACTCAATCCTGATATGGGACTTTACCCAAATAGACCCTAATTCGGCAACAAACCAAGACGATGAGACGGGTGCAGTTGAAAATGACGACGGCTTTTTTAACGATGAGGCCGCTGCAGCTGCAGCAGGGGTGGCTCCACAGCCATCTAACGTCCGCCAGATCCGTCTTATGCATCCTCGATCCCCACAAGTAGCCCCCACTCCAGCCCCAGTGTCCAATGATGCAGATGCTGGAACTCAACCGGCCGGGGTTAATCGGTCCACCACCCACGATGCTTCACTCCCATAAACCTCGCAGCCTTATTCCCTTCGTTCAACGCTATCAGACGTGAAAGAGCGTGAGCACACAACCCCCTCTGTCTTTTCTACGCATTTCCCTCCGTCTACATCTCAATTTTCCATTTTATGCTACAACTAGCCCCCATCCCAACCATGTGATGTCATTGTTGGTATTGTTACAATCCCATACGACAGTAACGCCTCACTGTCAGCCACCCCGCCTCCCTGGTTTGTTTTGTGGCATGCGCGCGCGAATTCTTCACCATCGTTCCCTTTCCGGGACTCTTTCTCTTCCTCGCTCCTTGTTCAATCGTATGAGTACGCGCCGCACACAGAAGTTAATTTTGATGCCTTATGCTAAGTCTGTGTTTTGATTTTTCATCGTTTGCAGCGTAGACTGCTTATTCCTTAATATGTGTGCAGACGGATGGCCGGGAACGTGGATGGAAAGTTTTATTCGCATAAAATGGCAGAACACTTGCCGTATGTCTCAAATTATTGTGGCGATGGTTTAGTACTTAAAGAAGGCTAAGCTATTCAAGATAAAGTATTTGACGAACAACTCGATTCATAAGCATCAAATGGGACTTGTCTTTGGTACCTATGTAAATAATGGATTGGTGAAACGGCAATTCCGATATACCATGTATTGGTTCTCTTGAAAGGCCGCAAATCTTTTGGTCTCTTCGTTCAACACTTGTTAGGTGGAACCTTACGTTGGAAGCAATTTTATTTATGTAAAAACAAGACAGCCGCTGTGGCTTATAGAAGTGACAAGTGGGGTTGACTGCTTGACATAACGTACGTACTGGAACTAGTCTAAGAATTTTCGCTTGAGACTTTATACGCCAAGTCGGCGGGCGCTTTGATCAGACAAATGTAGTTGATGATCAAATCAAGGTAATAACTTAATCGGTCTTGGGGTAACTGCAAGATAGTATAGATTAATGGAATCAAATATGACAGTAACTCAAGAAATTTTGCGCTAAGGAGCTCGGCACATGGGAGATTCACATTACACAACGAGTCAATATATCCGACGTGTGTCTCAGACGCAATAAGGCTATCCCACGTGGAGTTATGTTTTATACTGCAAAACCAGAATCCCTCTTCTACTCATTAACTCGTGAGGTTGTATATGAACAAAAAATTACCACGAAACGAATAAAAAGGTGGAGATGGGAATAACGACTAATACAAATCATCGCGTCTGATTCGGCGACAGTAAAATAGATTAGACCGCTTAAATGTCAAATCTGTCCACAGATTTTGTAAAAGTTAATATGTAGATCGAACACAGTGACTTCAAGTCATTGCGGACAACCGCAAACCACGTTGAAACAGCATCAGCTCTAACGTAACCAACTTGGTCACTAGCGGAAACGAACACAAAACATCTACCGTAAACACGCGAATTTATTACTATTAGGGGCCAGCTACATAACGAAATTAATGAGGTGACCTAAGTGCAGTGTGATCACGGTAATTCCCTTTATATCGCCAGAAAAACTAGTCATTAAAAAACTGGATAAATGAATACTTTAAGTTTGGTTCAATTTACAAGAAAGATGGGTTCGGCGTCAGCCTCACGTGGTCAGCAACCTAAGCAAAGAAAATAGTACTCAGTAAATGAATGTTGCACTAAAAAATCGTGTCAAAACATAGTCCCTCCTCTCAACTCGCATTTGAGGTAATTAGCACAATAGATTGACTGGTGATCTTACACATAGGCGGCATATGAAACTGGCAGCGCACATTTGACGTTATCCTATAACATCTAATATGAATATCTACTTTAAGGTAATTAGAAGAAGGGAAGACGTGACGGCCAAGGCAAGGCTTTTAATTGCATTTTCTACTTTTGAAAAAAAATTTGGTGCGCCAATTGTATTTTACTAATGTAGGTCTTCAAATTTTTAACATTTAGTGTCTCCACCTGGCCCGATAGCATGCACTTTTGGTAGAACTAAAAGGACTGAGCATCAATACTAAGTCGTGTTAAAATATTTGCATGCGCTTGCCTTCAGTAGAGAAAAACTAAACATACTGGTAAAGCGAAGGCGTCGAGGTCTTAGATTTGGCATTTCCTCCAACCTTCTTGGGTTTTGTCTTTAATACAGGTGGGGCCTGCACTACATCCCCAAACTTCACCTTATCTTGCAGGTGCTCAAAACCAGTTCGACGTTTCTCCGCTTTGAATTCTTTCTTCTTTTGTTTTCTGGCTGCTAGTCGCCTAGACAAAGGAAACCCAATCAATATTAGCTATGTTCCACAAAAAGCAAATTCCTTCAAAAAAACCTGAACTTCCAATCCAGGAAGCAACCAAACATTAAAGGATCTAGGTATAGTAAACGAAATAGGCGCATGTGCGAAGCAGAACCAATAATGAAATTCCAAACTGACATACTTTAGTGCCTTTTTTGTTTTCCTTGATTTGAATGTCTCTGGGTTTTCCAAGGGAGCCTATCGGATAGATATTCAAAATGGGAATAGATTCCTTACATCATTCGCCCTCTCCAGTTTAACTTTCAATAATTCTTCCTGAACGTCCCGACTTAAACGACGGGAAAAGTTTTCAAGGGTTTCATTTTTACCTTGTTTGGGCGACTTACTAACGAGTTTCTTCCGCATACCCTCAGTGTCTCCTTCATCTAAAAGTGATGATAAAAGGGGAACAAACAATCTCACATACTCGAATGATATCTGTATGGATTTAGTTTTTTCTCACAGTCACTTATGCGCCTCACCATTTCACGAAAGCTCGACGGCATCTTTTGCTCACCATCATCTACAGGGGCATCATCAAAGTTGGCGCTCCTTTTGTAAGCTTTCTCCGACACTTACTGAATATGACTCCAGAGAGGGGGAATTATCTGCTTAATTTTCTTCTGTTTATTGGTCTTCAGGCGGCGGGTGTAAAGAATGGGTTTCAGAGAAACAGCACCTCCCTTCTTGCCTTCATGCACCGCGCCGAACTTGCCGTTTCTTCGTAGTTTGGCTGACCTACGCATTTTCGTTGATTTCCTCATTTTGAAGAATCACTACACAAAATAAAAGTGACGTAAAAACTTATATTATCACTGTTAACAAAGCCAACATAGTTCTCACGACTTCATATTTCAGTTGTCAATTCTAAATCACACTATTTTGACAGAAATACGCCACGGAAATTCGACACGAGTTATTTAAGAATTGACTTAACTACTATCAATTGTTGAAAAATAAAAGTGCGAAAAGTCAGTGTCGGTAGAAGGTGGCGTAAAAAAACAAACAGGTACCATAATTATTACCGGCAATGGCTACCGTTTTTCAAGAATAGATTCACCAAACTCGACGGAACAAAATTACCTTGAAATGAGCCTGGTTAAAGGGGACACAGAAAGTTAGCCTACACCAAAAACAGATTTCATGCAAAAAACTCATTCCATTAACCCAACATAGTCACGAATTTTATAATCGTCTAACCAAAGCTTACAGCAGGCCAATGAACAAAAATACAGAAACAGCAACGTATTATTTAATCAATTAAAGCTTCCGCAACACATCTACTTACTTTTCATACAGAAAATGGAACACCGTGAGACCTAGGAATGATCATAAAACGCAAAGAAAGAACCGAAGCACAGTGAAATGACAACTTACCTAGTGCTGTGCTTTGTATCGTGGTGTGGTGTGGTGTGGTGTCGGATTAGGGCGCAGACATGTTGGACCACCTGGTCTCAGCCAATCCCGTGTCTCTCTGCGATCCAATGGCATGCGCGAAAGGAAGGCAGCCAACCAGAGAAGGACATGACTGAGGAGCAGTATATAATGAGCGGCATGACCAGTGTGGTGGACTCGGATGGAATGCGCCTGACGCGTGGCTCTGGCTCCTGATTGGTCAATAAAGCCTGTTCTGTTGTACCGGTCTTTTACCTACTAGGGCTCGGGTATTCTACACTGGTGGCAGCGGATGCGTTCGAATAACGCGAATCGAACCCCAGCCCGTTCTCTTCAGTGGTCAACACAGGCAAAGACCCTTAAATGCCAGCTGAATTTGTCATGGCGTTCATCCGATGTCCAATAAACTGGATCCATAGACATTGCACGGGATTAGGACTACTGCATCTGAAGAGGCATTGGCAACTCAGTGACGACGACTTGGACAGTGAAAGCCAGCTGGACTGC